CATGGACAAGTTGATGTCAATTCATGGGCATGTTGATGTCAAATCATGGACATGTTGGTGTCAATACATTGACATTTGGTGCAAATACATGGACATGTTGGTGCCAATACATGGACATGTTGGTGCAAATACATGGACATGTTGGTGTCAATTCATGGGCATGTTGATGTCAATTCATGGGCATGTTGATGTCAAATCATGGACATGTTGGTGTCAATACATTGACATGTTGGTGCAAATACATGGACATGTTGGTGCCAATACATGGACATGTTGGTGCAAATACATGGACATGCTGGTGCAAATACATGGACATGTTGGTGCCAATACATGGACATGTTGGTGCCAATACATGGACATGCTGGTGCAAATACATGGACATGGTGGTGGAAATCATGGACATGTTGATGTCAGTACATGGACATGTTGGTGTGAATACATGGACATGTTGGTGTCAGTACATGGTCATGTTGGTACAAATCATGGACATGTTGGTGTCAATACATGGACATGCTGGTGCAAATACATGGACATGTTGGTGCAAATACATGGACATGTTGATGTCAATACATGGGCATGTTGATGTCAATTCATGGGCATGTTGATGTCAATTCATGGACATGTTGGTGCAAATACATGGACATGTTGGTGTCAGTACATGGACATGTTGGTGTCAATACATGGACATGTTGGTGCAAATACATGGTCATGTTGGTACAAATCATGGACATGTTGGTGTCAATACATTGACATGTTGGTGCAAATACATGGACATGTTGATGTCAATTCATGGGCATGTTGGTGTCAGTACATGGACATGTTGGTGCAAATACATGGACATGTTGGTGTCAATTCATTGGCATGTTGATGTCAATTCATGGGCATGTTGATGTCAATTCATGGGCATGTTGATGTCAATTCATGGACATGTTGGTGTCAGTACATGGACATGTTGGTGTCAATACATGGGCATGTTGATGTCAATTCATGGGCATGTTGATGCCAATTCATGGACATGTTGGTGCAAATACATGGACATGTTGGTACAAATACATGGACATGTTGGTGCAAATACATGGACATGTTGGTGTCAATTCATGGGCATGTTGATGCCAATTCATGGGCATGTTGATGTCAATTCATGGGCATGTTGATGTCAATTCATGGACATGTTGGTGTCAGTACATGGACATGTTGTTGCAAATACATGGACATGTTGGTGCAAATACATGGACATGTTGGTGTCAATACATTGCAGATACCAACTGTATAATATGATTTGCGTCACAAATAGCTATTGCATCCCAACCACCCACTGAATTCCCACTACCCACTGAATCCCCACTACCCACGGAATCCCCGCTACCTACTGCATCTTCACTTCCCACTGAAACCCAACCACCAACTACATCTTCACTACCCACTGAATTCCCACTACCCACGGAATCCCCACTACCTACTGCATCTTCACTTCCCACTGAAACCCAACCACCAACTACATCTTCACTACCCATTGATCTCCACTACCCACTGAATTCCCACTACCCACTGCATCTTAAGTACCTACTGAATTCCTACTACCAACTGAATTCCCACTACCTACTGAATCCCCACTACCAACTGCATCTTCACTACCCATTGAATTTCCACTGCCAGCCGCATCTTCACTACCCACTGAATTCCCACAACCCACTGAATCCCCACTACCTACTGAATCCCCACGACCCACTGCATCTTCACAACCCACTGAATCCCCACGACCCACTGAATCCCCACTACCTACTGCATCTTCACTACCCACTGAATTCCCACAACCCACAGAATCCCCACTACCTACTGCATCTGCACAACCCACTGAATCCCCACTACCTACTGCATCTTCACTACCCACTGAATTCCCACAGCCCACTGATTCCCCACTACCTACTGCATCTTCACAACCCACTGAATCCCCACTACCTACTGCATCTTCACAACCCACTGATTCCCCACTACCTGCTGCATCTTCACTACCCACTGAATCCCCACTACCTACTGCATCTTAAGTACCTACTGAATCCCCACTACCTACGGCATCTTCACTACCCACTGAATCCCCACTACCTACTGCATCTTAAGTACCTACTGAATCCCCACTACCTACTGCATCTTCACTACCCACTGAATTCCCACAACCCACTGATTCCCCACTACCTACTGCATCTTCACAACCCACTGAATCCCCACTACCTACTGCATCTTCACAACCCACTGATTCCCCACTACCTACTGCATCTTCACTACCCACTGAATCCCCACTACCTACTGCATCTTAAGTACCTACTGAATCCCCACTACCTACTGCATCTTCACTACCCACTGAATTCCCACAACCCACTGATTCCCCACTACCTACTGCATCTTCACAACCCACTGATTCCCCACTACCTACTGCATCTTCACTACCCACTGAATCCCCACTACCTACTGCATCTTAAGTACCTACTGAATCCCCACTACCTACTGCATCTTCACTACCCACTGAATTCCCACAACCCACTGATTCCCCACTACCTACTGCATCTTCACAACCCACTGAATCCCCACTACCTACTGCATCTTCACAACCCACTGATTCCCCACTACCTACTGCATCTTCACTACCCACTGAATCCCAACTACCTACTGCATCTTAAGTACCTACTGAATCCCCACTACCTACTGCATCTTAAGTACCTACTGAATCCCCACGACCCACTGCATCTTAAGTACCTACTGAATCCCCACTACCTACTGCATCTTCACTACCCACTGAATTCCCACAACCCACTGATTCCCCACTACCTACTGCATCTTCACAACCCACTGAATCCCCACTACCTACTGCATCTTCACAACCCACTGATTCCCCACTACCTACTGCATCTTCACTACCCACTGAATCCCCACTACCTACTGCATCTTAAGTACCTACTGAATCCCCACTACCTACTGCATCTTCACTACCCACTGAATCCCCACTACCTACTGCATCTTAAGTACCTACTGAATCCCCACTACCTACTGCATCTTCACTACCCACTGAATTCCCACAACCCACTGATTCCCCACTACCTACTGCATCTTCACAACCCACTGAATCCCCACTACCTACTGCATCTTCACAACCCACTGATTCCCCACTACCTACTGCATCTTCACTACCCACTGAATCCCCACTACCTACTGCATCTTAAGTACCTACTGAATCCCCACTACCTACTGCATCTTAAGTACCTACTGAATCCCCACGACCCACTGCATCTTAAGTACCTACTGAATCCCCACTACCTACTGCATCTTAAGTACCTACTGAATCCCCACTACCCACTGCATCTTAAGTACCTACTGAATCCCCACTACCTACTGCATCTTCACTACCCACTGAATCCCCACTACCTACTGCATCTTAAGTACCTACTGAATCCCCACTACCTACTGCATCTTAAGTACCTACTGAATCCCCACGACCCACTGCATCTTAAGTACCTACTGAATCCCCACTACCTACTGCATCTTAAGTACCTACTGAATCCCCACTACCCACTGCATCTTAAGTACCTACTGATTCCCCACTACCTACTGCATCTTCACTACCCACTGAATCCCCACTACCTACTGCATCTTAAGTACCTACTGAATCCCCACTACCTACTGCATCTTCACTAACCACTGAATCCCCACTACCTACTGCATCTTAAGTACCTACTGAATCCCCACTACCTACTGCATCTTCACTACCCACTGAATTCCCACAACCCACTGATTCCCCACTACCTACTGCATCTTCACAACCCACTGAATCCCCACTACCTACTGCATCTTCACAACCCACTGATTCCCCACTACCTACTGCATCTTCACTACCCACTGAATCCCCACTACCTACTGCATCTTAAGTACCTACTGAATCCCCACTACCTACTGCATCTTAAGTACCTACTGAATCCCCACTACCTACTGCATCTTAAGTACCTACTGAATCCCCACTACCAACTGCATCTTAAGTACCTACTGAATCCCCACTACCTACTGCATCTTAAGTACCTACTGAATCCCCACTACCTACTGCATCTTAAGTACCTACTGAATCCCCACTACCTACTGCATCTTAAGTACCTACTGAATCCCCACGACCCACTGCATCTTAAGTACCTACTGAATCCCCACTACCTACTGCATCTTAAGTACCTACTGAATCCCCACTACCCACTGCATCTTAAGTACCTACTGAATCCCCACTACCCACTGCATCTTAAGTACCTACTGAATCCCCACTACCTACTGCATCTTAAGTACCTACTGAATCCCCACTACCAACTGCATCTTAAGTACCTACTGAATCCCCACTACCTACTGCATCTTAAGTACCTACTGAATCCCCACTACCTACTGCATCTTAAGTACCTACTGAATCCCCACTACCTACTGCATCTTAAGTACCTACTGAATCCCCACTACCCACTGCATCTTAAGTACCTACTGAATCCCCACTACCCACTGCATCTTAAGTACCTACTGAATCCCCACTACCCACTGCATCTTAAGTACCTACTGAATCCCCACTACCTACTGCATCTTAAGTACCTACTGAATCCCCACTACCTACTGCATCTTAAGTACCTACTGAATCCCCACTACCAACTGCATCTTAAGTACCTACTGAATCCCCACTACCAACTGCATCTTAAGTACCTACTGAATCCCCACTACCAACTGCATCTTAAGTACCTACTGAATCCCCACTACCAACTGCATCTTAAGTACCTACTGAATCCCCACTACCTACTGCATCTTAAGTACCTACTGAATCCCCACTACCAACTGCATCTTAAGTACCTACTGAATCCCCACTACCCACTGCATCTTAAGTACCTACTGAATCCCCACTACCAACTGGGTCCCGACTATCTACTGCACCCCAGCTACCTACTGCAACCGTCTACCATCTACACTCGAATTGTAAGACGAGGGTGACGTACTGGAGTACTTGTAGACCACGTGCTTGTTGGCAAGGTCCCTGTCCCCGGGCTCAATCCAGTACTCCTCCGCCTGTAACAGCGAGGTCCCGTCCCCCTCCCAGCGCAGGTCTTCATTGGCCCCTATCCCGCTCGTCCACCACCTGTTGTTCCTGGGGACATAAACACACACACACAGAGTAGCCAACTGTTGGATTGACGCTCTAGAAGTTGTTGAATAAATAAGAATTATACAACTTTATGGATTACAACTTCTGGTCTGTTGCATTCAACGACGTTTCGATGTCGATTCTGACACCGTTATCACTCCAGCTTGACACATTAGTCACATTTCTGACTGGCTTACTTGAAGAATACTGATTGACAATTGAGAAAGACAAATGCATGAAACAAATAAACGGCGTCATGAAAATGAATGACGTCATATCATAAGTTATAGTTCCAACTTTAAAATTATTTTATTATTCATTTCTGACATTCACATGAGATATCAATGTGACATCAATATCTCCAAGTTCATATTGGTTTCCGGATTCCCTAATTGGTCAGTTGACGTAAGCGTTCATTTGAAATCTAAACGTCGAATTCTAAAACAAGTAATTCTATTTTTGACTACCTTTTGATTTAAGGCATATTTACGTTCATTTCATTCCATCAATGTCACGACATATTCAGAATCACGAAAACACGTTCCATGGTCATGACGTGTAACGTTACAACTTACACGTGTCGATTCTGACGTCTTTGGGTGTGTTTCTCAACAGATTAAACTCTAATTTACGAACAAATATTCGGTAAATTTCGGTCAACTATGCGTTTTGAAAGCATGAAAACACGTCAATACATCATGTCGGGGACGATTACTCATAGACATCGTACCGTCGCAACAATCACATTGTGCCTTTTGACACGTATTTACAACGGTGACCGATAAATTTCAAGATTGTCCCTGGCAGCAACGAGGATTTTTACCTACTGATTGAGAATGACATTGGATGATATATATAAAAATCTCAACCTTGTGTCTTCTGATATCAAGTATATCATCACTCGTCAATGAAAGTGGAAAACCTCATTCGCAAGCCTAGTGTTTTGCTACTTCATCGACCTGTGTTGATATATACTATGCAAAACATGTAGGGGATTGCTGGAATCATCAAGACATATATTCTGATCTATATGGTATTGGCAAATGGAAATGATTTGATCATATTTGCTAGGGAATAGGCAATCAGGTCTATTGGGTTCTATAATGATTGGCGTGATGCGATCGTAGCGCACTAAGTCGTTAAAGATGTCGGGGTCAAATTCGAAATTTGCATTTTGCTGGCAACGTCACTAATATCGGGTAAAACCACCTGTTAGCCGCACGAATTCTTCGAGGCATGCTTCTATCGAGTCGACCAATGCCACCTTTGCTCTTGCTGTTCCGCTCACACATTGAGAGTGGAGGGTGGATTTTGACGTTGACGTACACGTCTTCCAGTGACGTGCCAGACGAGTTCAATGGGGGATAGATCAGGACTGTGTCCTGGCCATGGCATGACATGCGCGTTTTGCTTTTGGAGGAATTGGGTCACAAGTCCGACACGATAAGCACGTGCATAATCATCTTATGAAAAAGAAAGGTTGCCCAAAACGTTGTGCAAACAGCACCAGGAGTGGTACAATAATGTTGTTCTGATAGTACTGACCTGCGGACAGTCATTGTGATACCACCCCCACACCGTTATGTACCCACCCCAAAAACGATCATGCTGTGCGACGTTAACGTCCATAAAACGCTCATTGGAACGTCTCCTAACTCGATTCCTTCGGTCATGGAAGTCGAGAGGGAACCTCGATTCGTCAGGAAACATGACATTAGCCCAACGTCGATCATCCCAGTGCTGACGTTCCCTACTCCACCGACAACTGATTCAAATAACGTGCAGGCAGTTAAGCGATGACTCGTGGACGTCGTGCACGCAAATACCATCTGTGCGGAGATTTCCCACCGTCTTGGCAAATACTCTCACATAAGCTGCCTGTTGCAACCGGTCCCTTATCTGAGTGGCAGTTTGCAACCGATTTCTTAATGCTATCGTTCTGACTAATCTATCCTGGGCTGAACTGGTTGTTGCGTCCAGAGCGGCGTCGATCGTTTGTTGGTATCGGACCCACTATCTGCTGATGACAAACTGGGAAAAATGCAGCGTTTTGGGCAACACAATTCTGACGGGTACCCACCTACAACATGCTTATGGCACGTAACGTTCAGCACGTTGCAGACACTTCATGATCAATGCTGTTGCTTCATTAATGATTAAATGTGTTTAATAAAGTGTTTTAGAGCGTTTGTTTAAAAAAACAATATGCGTCTGCTCACAACCGGGTCTGAGTGATAATGGCCAATGGCATTCCACACGTACTGTCCGAAGTCACGTGCTTCATGACTGCCATAATGTTGTGTTTGGGAGCATGATTTCATCGGAAATGTTCTTGCCACAGAAATCATTTACTTTCATCTTCAGACAATGGTGTATTTTCCTGTTGTTTCATTTCAAACAAAATAGACCCTATTTTTTTGCACAGTTTTTTTGATAATGAAAAGACATTCGTACACTATTCTCTATGTGACGTCATATTGCACCAGTAGGAAAGCAAACAGAATAACCACTTACACGCGATGTACAAAGTATGGAAATGAATTACATTATATATTGTATTTTATCTATTGAGGAGTGTCTCCTTGGGTTGACATACTGGGTTTATTTAAAAAGAAACGCAATACGGATATGTTTGGCCATAAAAGCAAACTTAGCGGACCAAGAGGTGCAAAATGAAGAGGCGTAATGTGTTATATTGTCGGTGACAAATTTCCCGGATCAAAATGATTACAACAAGGAAATGCTAACCATTAGTCGGGAAACACGTACGATTCGGAAAAACGCAGCAAATGCATCAACAAACGGGCCATGGAACTGCACCCACAAGGCTTTCGGGTCGGTTTTAAAAGCATGGGTCAATACGTGATCGGCCATTGTCGGGACGAGAAAGAGTAACCATCTCCGCCCAAGGTCGCTACATCCGACTGCGCAACCTACGTGAAAGGACGACCACAGCCGTATCCCTAATACCTGGACTGCGCAGAATCTCCGACCAGACCGTACGAATTCGTTTAAGAGCAGCAGGTCTACGAGGAAAACGTCCTGTTCGACGCGTCATTTAAGTCGACAGCATCGTCAACAACGCGTGTATTGGTGTCGGCAACACAGGGTATGGCCTCAACTGCGATGGAGAGATGTCTGGCCCAGCGACGAATCAACATTTCTCCTCCGTCCAGGGGATGGAAGAGCACGGGTCAACAGACGTCGGGGAGAACGTTACACCGGAAACTGCGCACAGTAAGTGGACAGGTTTGGCGGTGGTAGCGTTATGATGTGGGCGGCTGTCTCTCATCATGGCAGGACAGGTTTGGTCCATATCCAGGACAATTTTACGGATACATCAACGAAATTCTCCTACCACACGTCCTCCAAATTGCAGCCAACGGCAACAGTGTATTCCAGCAGGACAACGCTCGACCGCATACACAACGTTGATGTTCTCCCCTGACCCTCCAGATCCCCGGATTTGAACCCGATAGAGCACATGTGGGATGAATTAGATAGATGGCTACGCCGACGTCAACCACAACCCCAGACGTTGCAGCAGTTGGCTTTCGCGCTTCAGGCCGAGAGGGCTACCATTCCCCAGGATGTGATTGGCATACTCGTCTCTGCTGGGTAGGAGATCTCAGGCCGCTATCGATTCAAACGGGGGACATACGTTATTTATGGCAGCTGACCTTCACCTTGGACTTTTCCTATGTACCGATAACTGAGATGACTACAATCGCCAAGTGTTCTCTCCACAACGTTTTGGCTCTATACCATGTACGGTTCCTCGTATAAATGTATTTTCCTACCTCACACAAATCTGGCTTTGCGTTTTTGTTTTGGAAGAGTATAATATGCGCGTAAATAAGATTCATACAAGTAGAGCTCATCGACAGTTATATTTGGATGCAGTGAATACGACATGGTGAGTGAGTGAGTTGGGTTTAACGCCGCTTTTAACAAGATTCCAGTTATATCGCGGCGTGTCAGCTTAATGTGGGAGGAAAGCCCGAAGTGATGCAGGTCTTAGACGTTTACTACTTCGGTGAAACCCACGAGCACGGGTATGGTGCTGACAAACCTAGAAACATAATTGGGGCGAACCGGGATTCGAACCCACAATCATAGGTTTCTGGCGTGCCCAAGGGACGCAACTCTGCACAGCGAATCGCGGCGCCTTAGACGACTGGGCCACCCGTGCCCCCGAATACGACATGGGTGATGCAAAGATGGTTGCTATACCCCTGTGATCACCCACCTGTTGATGTCATAGCGAGTCAACCACGACGACACAAACTCGTGTTCCTGTTTGGAATTAACGCTCAACAGGAACGCCCCGTCCACCTGAAACAGATTGACATGAAGGTGACACACAATTTGTTTGTTTGTTAATTTGTTGTTAACGCCGCTCTCAGCAATATTCCAGCTATTTGACGGCGGTCTGTAATAATTTGATGGCGGTCTGTAATAATCAGTCTAGACCAGAAAATCCAGTGAATGATATTATGAACATCGATCTAATTTTGGGTTCATTGACATCCACCCACCAAGTCAGCGAGCCTATCCACAGGATCTCGTTAATCGGCTCTTACGACAAGCATAGTCGCCTTTTACGGCAAACAGGGTTGCCGAAGACCAATTCAAACCCGGATCTAAATATACAAACACTGATACGTTAAATGTAAAATCTCAACAGAAAACGAAAAAGATTATCATGGGTATATTCAAAACCTTGTATGCCGGTTCGATTTGAGTGTAGTTTCTTTATAAGTTGCATATCAAATTCAACGCTGCCTTCATGTCCTCAATAATGTTCGATAACTTCGATGGTCAAGTCAAGTTTAACGCCGCACTCAGCAGTATTCCAGCTATATGACGGCGGTCTGTAAATAATAGAGTCTGGACCAGACAATCCAGGGATTGGCATCGTGAGCATCGATCCACACAATTTGGATATCATTACGATGATATGCATCAACCAAGTCAGCGAGCCTGACCACCCGATCCCGTTCGTCGCCTCTTAGGACAAACATTGGTGAAGAAAACCAAACTGCGTTTTCGAGAACCGTCCACAGACAATGCTATTTGACCAACTCTACTGATCTACTAGAAATACAGATTCAACTAAAATTTTCCATTTCTAACTTGTGCAGCTTACCTCGCAGGCCTGGGTGGCCTCTCCGTATACACGGGTGGGATAAAACACAAAGTGATAGCACCGCTGTTCAAACTCCTCCCATCCAAGCGGGCAGTCTAAAACCACACGCTCATTTACAAACAGATGATCAGAATAATAGCATATCCAGGTCTCACTTTAGTATAGTGCAACATTGGTGAAGGTAAAATACATACATGGGCTACGCCATACGCTATGGAGGACCATGGTAAATATATAATAACTTAATATTATGAATAATGTAATAAATGTGAGTGGATGGATGGATGGATGGATGAAAGAAAGAAAGAAATAGCACTATCCATTGATGATACATTTCATTTTACTGCTTTTATAGGCTTCATGTCATGAAAAGGTCTAAATCTGGAACTACTAAATGTCATTGGATCCTAAATGCTCATTAAGAGGTTCCCGAACCTATGTCTTCTTGTCGCAAATTCAGGCAAACCGTAAACATGTTTTCAAATTAAATTAGGTGAGATGTCATTACTCAGAATTTCGATAAACGTAACTATTACGTTATCATCACAGGACAACAATATCTTGTACTCACCGAAAAGGTTCTGGGAGCAGACAAGTGGAATACATAGCACAATGAAGAGGAGGTTGAGGGCGTCCATGATCAGCAGAACATCGGGTGGCAGAACAGACAACCTGAAGACACAAATGTGAGCATGTAGACTCATCATCTAACCATCTGAGGCCACATCATGCTCCGGAAAAGACAGTCTGAAGACACACGTGTAGACTCGTCATACAACTGTCACAGACCACATCACTTGTGAGAACAATCTGAAGACACACGTGTAGACTCATCATACAACCGTCACAGACCACATTACTTGTGAGAACAATCTGAAGACACGCGTGTAGACTTATCATACAACTGTCACAGACCACATCACTTGTCATAACAGACAATCTGAAGACACACAACTGGCACACAATCACACATGCACATGAACAGACAATCTGAAGACACACGTGTAGACTCATCATACAACTGTCACAAACCACATCACTTGTGAGAACAATCTGAAGACACACGTGTAGACTCACCATACAACTGTCACAGACCACATCACGTGTCAGAACAGACAATCTGACGACACACAACTGTCACACAATCACACATCATGCACCAGAACAGACAATCTGAAGACTCACGTGTAGACTCACCATACAACTGTCACAAACCACATCACGTGTCAGAACAGACAATCTGAAGACACACAACTGTCACACAATCACACATCATGCACCAGAACAGACAATCTGAAGACACACGTGTAGACTCACCATACAACTGTCACAAACCACATCACGTGTCAGAACAGACAATCTGAAGACACACAACTGTCACACAATCACACATCATGCACCAGAACAGACAATCTGAAGACACACATGTAGACTCACCATACAACTGTCACAGACCACACAATGCGTCAGAACAACCCGAAGACACACGTGGAAACAAGGTAACCACATCCTACACCTATCACAGACCACATTATGCGAAAAGATATTAAGAATTCACACGTGGCAGCAAGGCAAAAATTTCACATCATGCGTCAGAACAATTTGATGGTTAAATATGGCAGCAAGGTACCCACGCGATTCGATTTTTGTCCTTATTTGGTCATTCGATGAAAAAACGACGTTTTTTGACGCTTTCTAACCGTCGGTTTTCCGTCCAAATAACGTCGTCATTTGACATCGGAATTTACTGCGAAAGAACGATGTTATCAAGCTTCTCCCTTTTCTTGATTGACATTGTCTATTGACATGCGGATTATTTATACCTTGCCCTTCTGTGCGTGCGCGATTTCGCGGATTGTTTACATCAGGTGCTTGTGACACATCGCAACTACTGTAAGAACATTTCTTATTAAATAACCCAATAATTACAAAAAAATAGGAAGGGTAGAGCTGAAGTAAACAAAATGAATATTACTTTCGCAGTCAAATGTAACCAACAAATACGCAAGCAAATATAAAACTGAAAGTGAATAACTTGCCGACAATCACAACTTATCTTTGTAGAAGGTGATTGATTGGAATATATTGCCAGAGAACATATACGGCTATTGGTTTCTGATAGTGAGGAAACTATATATATTTATATTTTTTAGTTTCCTCCGTCCTTTAATTGTCATCTGACCTGAGTACTTGACCGGGGATTCCCCTTTTTCATTTGCACACATCACTTACCTAAAACCTTACACAGTGATCTGCGTTATATTATAATGACGTCGACTACGTACTGTTATTGTGAACAGATTACTTGACACATTCCAAAATGGAGGTGTCTATTCTATTGATATCCAGGCTGCCACCCAAACCAATCCAAGCAGGGATGCAAAAGTTAATTGTATGCTATATAGTGATATGGTAGTGTACCAGAATTTTACAGATTGTATTCCGCTAAATTGTGTTCTTACGTTACATTCAAGTTATGAAATGACATCAAAGGTAAATTAAATTTAAGTATTTAATTATTAAATGTTTCCCTTACATATTATAGATGCTGGATGTACCACACATTATTCTCTGGTCATGTTAGATATATATTAATACCGTTCTAAAGTCTTCCTCTCATATAACATCTAAATTTATATTGTCCCTTGTATCAAATTTTAATCAACAATATCAAGAGCAGCTAATATTTTGCCAGTATATCACAATCTGAACAACGTTAAATCGAGAAAGAGTTCATAGAGGATTTGTATAAGAATCATCGCGATATTTTTCTGTTCCGAAGCTATGAATGATACATATGGTAAGAGTCAGTGATTTGCAACCAGAATCGACAGTTTTTGCGCTGTGTGTTTGCTGCTATGCCAATCTTAAACTTAACGTTCAAGTTGATTTAATGGCATTTCAGACAAATATTCCAAAGTTATAAAACAAAATACATAAAATCAAAAACATTTCTCATGCATGATAGCAATGAAAGTATTTCTGTTTTGTTTTGTTTGTTGATCAAAATAGCTGGTAATAATCACGACATATATTTGCTTCACCAATACCAGCACCCGAGCTTTTAGCCTACAGCATATACACTCTTAAAAAAACCCCGCACAGATAGTATGTAGTTCATTGAACCTGACTACACAAAACATTCGGTATATAAATAGGATATATGTTATTAGAAAATGTTGGTGGCCTGATATTCGACAAACGGTGCCTCAAAACGTAGCCATTGTCGAATTTCAATGTCTTAAACGTCATTGTTTTCACACTTGTTCAAAAATGGCATGGAAAACAGTTAAGCAAAATGCACGTGCAAGCTATGGCATTCGAAACTCATGGTAGTGGCTATAAAAAGACAAGAAGTAGCCAATAATTTGTCATTCAATTGTCAACATTTTTCAAGTTCGAAAATGCCGAGACTCAGCCGATATGGAACTTCGCCATAGGACGTGTCCAAATAGGGGAATCGCAGTCTTCTGTTGTAAGCCACTTCAACGTCCACCACAGAACCATTTGCCGCCTTTGGGACTGATACACACAAGTCAATTCCACTGCAGACCGTCCGAGAACCGGCCGACCAAGAGTTACCACCCCTGCACAGGATCGCTACATTCGACTGTTCCAACTACGTCATCGCAATGATACAGCTACAGAGACTGCAGGACGCATCCCTGGTTTGAGGAGGATATCGGACCAGACTACCAGGAACCACCTTCGCGAGGCTGGAATCAGACCTAGAAGACAAGTTATCGTCCCTGTTTTGCAACAGATCCATCGACAGCGACGCTTGTGTTGGTGCCATACCTTACAGCCATGGAATTTCCAGTTACACATACTGAAAGACTAGAAATGTCTGATGAGGGGAACACAGTGAACTTTGCTATTAAAATATGCATTATAACGTTGAAAACGTATGGCGCGAACGGGACACCGTACAGGCAAAAGGAGATAAACCCTCGCGATGTGAAGCCTTTGAAGTTCGTTTACCTTGTGATTTGGAGCTGTTTTTAATATAGTGACAGATTTAAAATATGATATTAATTTCAAAACAATAAAACCTAAACATAACATGAAACAAACAGGTGTTTGTGAATGTTTAACAATGTATGATCGCCATGTATTTGTCTGCTAGCGACACGAGGCATAAGGCAGCTTCGTACTTAATACAAGTTTTTTTATCCTTTATTTCAGTAAATAGTTTAATAAATGAACATATATTGTGTTATTGTTTTTCAACCGCAATGTTCAACGGAATGTTTCATTAATACACTCGATAGAAAAAATGGGGTTTTGGAAAAGAACAAGTATGGAAACTCAGCGATATCTTTACGCCATGAAATATCGTATATCGTGTTTTGTGTGGTCGATTTTGACTGTCGCATTGGCTCAGAGTCTTTAACAAAGAAGCCTTGGTTAACAGACCATTTTCTGCTTTATAGTTTTGATCTATTAAAACAAATGTTGAATTTTTCTTTTTATAATGTTCTTTTTTATAAAACTTCGAGGATTTAATTTAAGCATTCAAATGGTTCAGCATGGACAGCAAATGTACAGAAAGTATTGATTTTTCAAAATATTATTAGTTTGCGTTTCTTTATTTTGTCTTTAATTAAATTATATTTTGAACATATATATGTACATAGTCTATCAAGATTAAGTAAGGATACGATATAGGGATGAATATCAAGATGACAATTACGAACACCTAAATTATATTGGAACTTCGCTTATCCGGACCACAGATAACCGGAAACCTCGCCTACTGGACAACATTTATGTGAAATGAAATAAATACTTCATAAAATGTAGTGTCCTTAAACTGTTAAATGTTTCATATTTATGTCTTCTCACCTTATTTCACTGACAACTTAGACTTCTTACCTTATTGTACTTGTTTAACTGCTGTCCAAATCTGTATTATTCCTAATCATACAATCTCCAAAGGAGGAAATAAAGATGCTGATGGATGCAGACACTACAGCCCACTATAACTGCAGCCCAAAATAGATACAGGGCTTATATAATCACAACTGGTATACCGCTGTCTTTAATCATGGAATAGCCTCTCCAGTGTCCCCTTTGAACTACAGTAATTATACAGTAATCACTTTGAATAAAAATAAGAAATTAAATATATTGATTAAATAAATATAAAATAAATATGTTGATCAAACTAAATAAATTATATAAATTAAATAAATTAAATAAATTAAATAAATTAAATATATTAAATATATTAAATAATTAAATAAATTATATAAATAAAATGTATTAAAAATTACATATATTTGTTCCAGTAACATTATTATGCATTATGTGATTGGTGAGTGGCTTCTTATAGAAACCAGTATTTAGAAGCCAGTTTATTTCGTTCTCGTACATCACATAATTAATTTGTCTTATATACACTTAATTAATCAGTTTGATTATCACATTTACAAGTTGTTAATAAGACTTCAGACTTCAAAATGGTTCAAACTATGGCTGGGCTGAGAACAGTTTGTCTGACCTCAGAAGGAGAAACCAAGTTTTTCTTGATGGTTACCGTTATCTTGTCAAGCAGTGTTATACACAGAAGAACCTGAGGTCCAAAAATGGACTTACCGGAGATCAATCACGCTTGATTTGCAATTCAAACCCGACAGCCAACGTGGCGGTGTAGTCCCTGTTCGCCGGAC